TCGACGGCACATAACAACAACAACAACAACAACATAATCTTATAAACCCCTTTAGGAATGTGTGTAAGTTGGTACATTCTTTGAGGAGCTCTGGTGATGCAGTAGTTAAAGCATTCAGCTGCTAACCAGAGGTGAGCATTTGGAACCCACTAGCCACTGGTAGCATAGTGCCTAAGGCACTTGACTGCTAACCAGAAGGCTGGCGTTCAAACCCACCAGCCACTCCTCTGAAGGAGAATGGGGCAACCTACTTCCATAGTGATACTCCCTCAGAAACTGAGGAGGGGTCGCTATGAGTCGGATCCGACTCGACAGCACATAACAACAACAAGCCACTGGAGGGAGAAAGATGAGGTAGTCTGCTTCCATAAAAATTACAGCCTTGGAAACTATGAGGGCAGTTCTGTTCTGTCCTAAAGGGTAACTACAAGTCAGAATTGACTCAACGACAACGTATTTTTTGGGTTTTATCTATAACCAAAATGGAAACAGATGCCTTTTTTTTTTTACTATCCTGAGCATGAATTCTTGGCTTGTCTAGCAAATAACTGGGATATTGAATGAAGAAATGCTGTCCTGTGGAATCTTCTCATCTTACAGAAAGAAAAACCAAGGCCCAGAGAGGAAAAGGGCTAGTCTAGGACACTCTAGATGCAGCCAACTACTTTTGGAGAGTTGACACTACGAATTGGAATCTCTGCATTCAGTCTTTGGCTTACTCCAACTCACTTCCTGTGCTGTTCCTGACTCCTTGACCAAAAAAACCTGTTGCAGTTGATTCTGACTCATAGCCACCCAATAGGACAGAGTACAGCCGCCCCATAGGGTTTCCAAGGCTGTAATCTTTATGGAAGCAGACAGAGCAGCTGGTTCAAACTACCGACCTTTCAGTTAGCAGCCCAGTGCTTGCTTAACCACTGCACCACCAGGGCTCCTTGTGCAGATTGCAGAGGAATCGAGTTCTTCACCAGAGCTGGGTGCTTGAGCTTGTCTGTCTATCTTGAAAGGAATGCAGGCTCGTTGCAGAAAGGCAGAAAAGTGAAAAGAACAAAATGAGCATACCTCATGATCACAGCCTCAGAGCATGTCCATCTTTTAATCTATGCATATATATGCATAGAGCTCTGGTGGTGTAGTGGATAAGGCATTTGGCTGCCAACCACAAGGTTGGCAGTTCAAATCCACCAGCTGCTCCACAGGAGGAAGATGAGGTGATCTACTTGTGTGGAGATTTACAGCCTTGGAAATCCAGTTTGGGGGAGGGGAGCCACTATGAGTCAGAATTGACTCAATGGCAGTGGGTTTGGTTTGGGTTTATATTTCATAGAATCATTTCCAAAAAGAACTGGTGTACAGGGACACTGACATGGTGAACACACCTTGCTTTAAGACCCAGCAAAGGAAGATAGGTGGTTTTACTTCCTTCTCTACTTTCCCTAACTTAGGCATGTACTGTTTATAAAATGATAACAGAACCTATTCAATATTATAATGTCTTTTATCACTTAGCATTTAACAGTCATCTTTCCATATTAATATATTACTGCAATGTTGTTGTTGTTTTTGTTTGCCATCGAGTTGGCCCTGACTCATAGTGACCCCTCCTTGGGTTTCCGAGGCAGTATCAGTACGGAAGTAGGATTGCCCAACCTTCCTTCCGAGGAGTGGCTGGTGAGTTTGAACCGCCTGCCTTCTGGTTAGCAGTCAAGTGCCTTAGCCACTATGCTACCAGAGCTCCCATTACTGCAATAGCATTATAAATCACTGCTGAGTAACCTATGGGTGGAACAATAATAATTCTAATGATACAAACTTAAAAAAAAAAAAAGCCTGCTGCCATTGTTGTTGTGTGCTATCAAATCAGCCCTGACTCGTAGGGACCCCTCTTTGGGTTTCCAACCTCTCTTTGGGTTTGGTGTCACTATGGAAGTAGATTGCCAACCTTCCTTCCAAGGAGTGGCTGGTGAGTTTGAACCACCAGCTTTCTGGTTAGCAGTCAAATGTCTTAGGCACTAGGCTGCCAGAGCTCCTTGTTACCATTGAGTGAATTCCAACTCTTCGTGGCCCTTTAGAACAGGGTTTCCTACTTCAAACCCACCAGTTGCTCCACAGAAGGAAGACGGGGCAATCTACTTCTGTAAAGATTTATGGCTCAAAAAACCCAACGGAGGTCGCTATGAGTGGAATCCACTCAATGACAGTGGGTTTGAGGTTTTCTGTTTTTTTTTTTAGTTTAATATTCACAGAAAGGAGCCCTAGTGGTACAGTGGTTAAGCACTCAGGGTCAGCGGTTCAGTAGGCTCAAACCCACCAGCTGCTCTGCAGGAGAAAGATGTAAGTTTGCTTCCGTCAAAATTTACAGGCTTGGGAACTCCATGAGGCAGTTGCCTTGTTCTATAGGGTCACTATAAATTGTAAACCACTCTATGGCAACAGGGTAGGTTTTGAATCTTACGGAAGCAGATTGCCAAGTCATTCTACCAAAGAGTCACTAGGTGGGTTCCAACCGCAGACCTTTTGGTTAGCATCCAAGCTATTAACCATTGCACCACCAGGGCTCCTCTAATTCTAATAATATCTAATTCTTATTGAGCATTTACTGTGTGCCTGGCGCTGTGCTAAATTCTTATTAATAATCTTAAATTCTTTCAACCCCACTAGAGGCAGACAGCATCCTTCCCATGCATGGGGTAAGGAGACCGTCCCTCTCACCACAGTCTCCTTCCTTCCTCCTTAACAGGGAAGCTCCCTTGTTGTTGGGCACTTAGGTTACTGCTGTTTTCTGGTTATAAACATCTGCACATCTATTGGGTTCATTCATCAGGATACATTTCCTGAAATGGGATTGCTGGGTCCAAAGAGTTTCTGAAGTTTGCGATATTTGTTGCAGGGGACAGGGTACAAGGGGTGCCACTGCACTTTATGAGGTTGCAGGGTTCTTCCCTCCTCCTCCAGCGCCTACTCGGGCCTCCCTGAGCGCTCCCCTCCACTTGGCCGGGTTTGACGCCTTCTCTCCCCACCCCTGCGGAGAGCCCGGACCTTGCCCCTTACCCGGGGCCTCGCGATTCCGGAGCTCGAATCCCCGCCAGGACTGCCTGGCCCCGCCCTTTCCCGGGCCGGGAATGCAGCCCAGGAGGCTGTCTGGGGCCAGACAGATTAAACTAACCGACGGACAGAAGGCGCCCGATGGCTGCGCCAGGCGAATCCTGCGCTGGGCCAGGGGTGAGTGCCCCCACTTGCCCACTCTCCTTTTCCACCCCCGACACTGAGGAGGAGAGAGACACTCAGCCCCCTAGTCGGGAATGAGTCCTCTTCCCCAGCCAAAGACGATGCGGCGGGGCGGCCCGTTTGACCAAGCACCATTAAAGGAGCTTCCAGACCTCCCAAATTCTAAGGACCAAGCCAAAGCCAAATCCACAATCATCAAGTCGATTCCGACTCATAGCAACCCTATAGGACAGAGAACAACTGCCGCATAGGGGTTCTAAGGCTGTAAATCTTTACAGAAGTAGACTGCCTCATTGTTCTCTAGCAGAGCTGGTGGGTTCCAACCACTGACCTTCGGGATAGCAGCCAAATCTAACGACTTTACCACCAGAGCTCTTCTTCTAAGGATAGTGGCCCCTTATTTACATAAAGCTGCTGCCTCCCCTGTAGCCCCCATCCACCCACCCCCAGCGCCCTTTCCGGTTCCTTGGACCCCGTCCTCTCTGGCTTCCTCTCTCGTCCCAGGGTCAGGGTAGTAGCACAGGGCTCTAGGGAGTGGAAGTGGTAGGGAGGATAATAAGAGAAATCTGCTTCACAAAGAATTTTGGAGCCAGATGGGTAAATAAATCATAAACCAGAAATCAGTTGCTGTCCAGTGGACTCTAGTCCTGGTGGCTCCACGCTGTCAGAGTAGAACAGCACCCCACAGGGGTTTCAAGGCTGTGAACTTTCTGAAGCAGGTTAGAGGCCTTTCCTCCTAGCATGCTTACTATTAGTGATGATGGAAGGCTTCCTGGTGCCCAGCATGTACTCCAGGCTTTGCTGGTCCATTTAATATAACCCTTATCCTCCCTTTGCAGAGAAGGAAACTGAAGCCCAGAAAGGTTGAAGGTCACACAGCTGGGTGAGTGGCAGAGTCTAGAGGAGTGAGTGCAGGGTACAGTGTAAGACAGTGGGGAGAGAATTAGAGGACCCATGTCTTCTAAACTTTATAGCAGAAAAGGTTAGGTGAAAACCACAGATCAGGCCCCGACAGAACAAGCTTTGAGAGTTAGCTTGCCACTTCCTATTTGTGTGGGCGCTCTGGTGGTGCAGTGCCTATAAGGCATTTGACTGCTAACCAAAAGGCTGGCGGTTCAAACCCACCAGCCACTGCTAGGAAGGAAGATTGGGCAATCTACTTCTGTAGTGATACTGCCTCAGAAGCCCAAGGAGGGGTCGCTATGATCAGATCTGACTCAACAGCAGTGAGTTCACTTTTTTTTCCAAAGGAAGTGGTTCTCATTTCTGTGCCTCAGTTTCCTTTTCTGTGAAATGGAGACAGTAACTCCTACCTCCTAGATTAGAATTAAGTGACAGTCTATACCTAATACTCACCAGAACCCAACCACCTGGGTTCAAATCCCAGCACCATCACTTTCCAGTTTAGTGACACTGGGCATGTTACTCAATCTCCCTGGGCCTCAAGTTAATCATCTGCAAAATTAGGATGAAAATTGCATCTACTTCACAACTTGGCACATTTTCATGTAAATATTTGGTTTCTAAAAGTTGCCTGGCCCCTAGGCAGGTAAGTTTGTGACCCTGCTTTCTAAGGGTCTCCTGGTATTCCCTCAGGTCTGGAACCAGACAGAGCCTGAGCCTGCCACAGCCCACCTGCTGGACCTATGCTTCTTGAGAACAGCGGGGGTCTGGGTACCCCCTATGTACCTCTGGGTCCTCGGCCCTCTCTACCTCCTCTACATCCACCGCCACAGCAGGGGCTACCTCCGGATGTCTCCTCTCTTCAAGACCAAAATGGTAGCTGTCACACTGGGACCCTGGAACTAGACAATGGGAGGAGGGGACAGGCAGAAATCCCAAAGTGGGCACTCCTGTCAAGAAACAGACATGGTGGGAACAAGCAGGGAACCTGTTATCCACCAGAAAGCGATACCTCAGGAGACGCAGAGAAAACTTGGTAGAACAAGGTTTTCCCAAGCAGATTTTTTTTTTTAAATTGTAATTTGGGTGCAAATTTACAAAGCAGATTAGTTTTACTCTCAACAGTTCCTGTGTTTGATTTCATGTCCCGATTACAATCCCCAGCCATAAAATGCTCTCCTCCCCTCTCCTCCCTGTGACTGCCCCACCCTGTGCCCTTCTTATCTGTGCATCCTGTCTGTCCAGCTTTCCCTCTGTGTGAATGCTGCCCCTCTGATGCCTCATGGTTGATCGATCTCAGGGGTGCATCTCCCTAGGGTAGGTGGGTGCATCCCCCTGGGGTAAGTGTTCTGCTTGTAGGTCTTTCTACTGTTGGGCTGAGAGCCAATCCATAAAAGTGAGTCCATTTCCAGGCCCGAAGGATAACCCAGGGGCTTAGTCTTGAGGGTTCCACCAGTCACCATCAGACCAGTAATCCTGGTCATTTTTGTGTTTTTGAATTTTGTTCCACATTTTCCCTCCTATTATCCAGGATCTCTAATTTTGATCCCTTTTTCCAAGTGACTGGCATTGGTAGCTGGGCACCATCTAGATCTCCTGGTCTCAGGATCATGAAAGCTGAGGTCCTCATGGGCCATCATATCTTTGGACTAATTGTTCCCAAATGACTTTGATTTTCTTCACTCTTTTGCTCCAGATGAGAGAAGACCAGCAGTTGCATCTTAGATGGCCGCTCAACCTTTTAAGATCTCCCAAACAGATTTTGTAATTAGGAACACTTATACCCCAAAACACACAAACACACATGCAGACACTCACATGGTCCAGGATGGTTTACAGCTGCCATCACCTGGCATTTCCAGAAGTGTGGGACGTGTACTCATAGGGTACTCAAGGTGGTTTAAGGGCTGACTAGGATAAACTTTTTTAAAATGTTAACAATTATGCATTTATTTTTATGTTTCCCCTCTGGCAGTGGTACAGACCAATCCTTTCAATTGTTATATGTTTATTTTAAAGGGGCCTTGGTGGCATAATGGTTAAGCACTTAGCTGTTGACCATGGTCGATGGTTTGGACCCATCACTGCTCCGCAGAACAAAGACCTGATGATCTTCCCCTGTAAAGATTGCAGCCTAGGAAACCCTGTGAGGCAGTTCTACTCTGTCACATAGCCTCATTGTGAGTCACACTCGACTGATGGCACACAACAACACATGGTTATTTTAGCAGTATGTTAGAAAAACTCTGGCATTCCGAGCCTAAGCCTTCCCCTCATTCATCTCCTCTTCTAAACTTCTACGAGAATATTCTTCAAGCTCCATGCATTCCTACACTACTTTGTTAATTTTTGCTCTGTTACCTACCACTTGTCCAAGTGCTGGGAAATTTTATCTTAAACAGCTAAAATCTGATGCCATCAAGTTGATTCCTTCTCATGGCGACCCTATAGGAGAGAGTAGAACTACCCCCATAGGGTGTCCAAGGCTGTAAATCTTTACGGAAGCAGACTGCCTCAGTTTTCTCCCACGGTGTGGCTGGTGGATTCAGTAACCTTTCAGTTAACAGCCGACTGTACTTTAACCACTGCACCATCAGAGCTCCTTCCTCAAAGTGCTGGATAGTAGGTATTTCGGGTTTTGCAGGCCATAAGGCCTCGGCTGAAACTACTCAATTATGCCATTGCAGCAACAAAAGCAGCCATACCCAAATCAGCAAACTCACTGCCATTGAGTCGGATCTGACTCATAGCCACCCCTCCTTGGGTTTCCGAGGCAGTATCACTACGGAAGTAGATTGCCCAGTCTTCCTTCCGAGGAGTGGCGGGTGGGTTT